AACAAGAGGAACAGATCCAATAGCTCTGGTTTTATGAATAGACTTCCACCATCCTACTCATTTGTAAGATCCTCATGAGATCTTTTTTTACAGCAGGTTATGAATCATCTTCATGATATCTTTAAATGGATGATCAATACTATATTTTCCCATAAAATGTTTGGTTTGAAATCCGATTTTAAGTGCATTAGAGTTTTTGTGCACCGAATGGGTAAATGCCATAATAAATTGTCATCAAATATGAAAGAAATACAGCATAGATTAATTGCCGTATTTATTTATGAGTCTATAAAATACCTTGTGAAAGTCCTGGCACATTTTTGGGATACCAATTTGAACCTTTAGGAAAGTTAAAAGCATTAAAGAGACTGTGAGGAGATTTATTATCAGAATGTTTTTAATTGCAGACCTGCGCAGACATCCAGGTATTAGAATGGCTGTGCCCTTAATGGGAATGTCTCGTGTGTTTCTCTCCCTCTCTCTTCTTTAAATGATATATTCCCTATATTTTTATTGATTTGTGAAGATTTTTCATAAATCACCATGACCAGCATGTGACATCACAAATGTTCCAGCTTCCTTAAAGTACTGGGCCCCAGGTGGCATGGCAAAGAAGGGTCCTGGTCAGTTCTAATGCTCAGCTTTCAAAGTAGGAGAAATTCTACTGAAAGAAAATACTGGAGAAATGCCACTAATCAGATGACAATAAATATGGCTTGAAGCTGCTCATATTTTAATTGAAGCTTTAATGTCTATGGCAGTGCAATCCTCTAGAGTCAAGAATAACAAAACATCATCCTTATAAACTGCAGGCTGGTCATGCTTTGGTTTTAGGGCTGTATGCAAAACACCCATCCCTATGGTAATTGAAACCAGCACGGTGTGGCTCTCATTCTTAGTTGTCTAGGCTGTAATTCTGCTTCCTAACTGTACACTTAAGGACAGCTTCAGGTTCTTCTCACATAGAGAAAAAGGCATGGCATATTATCCCCACGAGTCCCTATATGTTGTCCCTTTAAAGTTTTAATTACATACATGTATTTCTTTCTCAAAGACTTTGCCTTCAAAATTTGTTCCATGATTTTCAAATCCACAACTTTGTTGTCTTCTGTAAAGCATAATTCTTTGAAAACACATCAGATGCCTTGAGCTTATCACTAGAAAGATATCATCATTCACCAGATAAAAATGATAAAGAATTGCTGTGCACAAAAATGGCTCTGAAAGTGAAATTTTAATACAACAAATTCTCTAACTTACCAATGGGGGGGGGAGCTTAAGAAGCATTGTCTTCCAGAAAATTGTCAGTGACTGATGTTTTCTAAACCAGTATAGATACACAGACATTATTTTATCTGGATTTTTTAAAACAGAGGCTTTCTTTCTTTCTTTCTTTCTTTCTTCTTTGCCTGTCTCTCTCTCTCTCTCTCTCTCTCTCTCTCTCTCTGCCTCTCTGTCTCTCTCTCTCTCTGCTGCTGCTTTATTTTTGAAAACCTATTAGCCACAGCTGGATCTGTTTGCTGTTTGTTATATAAATGAATGTTCTATACAAATTTCTAAAACCCCCAAATTATCACATAAGCCTTTTCATAGTAGAGACTGATTTAAAGCATGCAGAAGAGCCTCTGAACTTGTTCGCTCATAGTGGCATCGCTTTAGACATTTCTCTGCTAAATTACTCAGTGTCATTGCAAGGCACTAAGCAGGAATTCACAAAGTTCATCTGGAGTTAGCAACATCCCCTGGTTGTATCTGTTGTATGTGTTTGAAATGTGATCTCATACAGAGAAATCAAGAGGTTTGGATTCTGGCCTCTTCTCTGCCATCTGAACAGCTGTGTAACGATCTTGGATTTGCTTCTCATCTCTCCAATATTATCCTGAACCTTCAATAGAACAAAGCAGAGGTGTTTAGGAATCTCTCCAATACTCAAAACCATGCAAAGAAATTTTGCTATTATTAAGAAACCAATTATTTTAACTCTAACCTCAGGTACAATGTCACCAAGCCAGGATCTCCACACCCCATCTCATTTTAGACTTTACCTCAAAGAAGTTAATTCTTTCTTTATGCCACCTTCCTGACAAGCCACGTCAACACCCCCTTCTGGGAATTATTGCCTTTTTATTTTCCCCTCCTGATGCCAGAGTTGCTGTTGACAATATGTATTCAGGCAAGGCAGGGAGTCACTGTGTTTCACAATCAGACGCCGTGCACACCACTTCCGTCAAAACAATTAGTGTTCATTTTGGCTTTACTCGGGGAGACCTGCAGTGACTGATCAGTATAAATTATGGATGCATCTGTCCAGATGCACTTGTTCATTCATGCATAGAATTGAGGAAATTTCATTCTTCTCAGTTCAAAAACAGTCACTAAAAAAACCTCCATACTTAAAAAATATAATTTATCGCATTTTCAGCTGGATTATTATGCGCCTGCCACTCATTCAATCTGTGGTTTGAGATATTTGAAGCTGTTTGGAAACATCTAAAGGTTATTATTTCCCACCTGTAAAATCTGCTGTCTTTATAAATCATTAGGAAATCATAGACAGTTTTAGCCTAGAATAATGCAATATGATTTATTTTTCTCTTTTTGGTGAGGTGGCTTCCTTCAAGCTCACTGTCAATCCTTTACTCTGCCTGCTCAGAAACTTCAGTATATTTAAGGCAAAGCAATATGAACTTCAAATAAACAACATGGATTAGTACTCTCTGTGGTCCAAATGGGCCTTTGTTTGCTTTGTTTCATATTAGTTTTAATGAGCAGCTAGAGGAACTTTCAGACATGTTGCACAATTCAACAAAAGAATCCATATCATTTGTTCAAAATACATTTGGTGGGATGACTCCCTTAAATGTAACTGGGAGGGTTTGTATTTGATAGGTTTATTTACTTGCTTCAATAAAATTCTGTGTGCACACATATACAATTGGGGATTTTCCCCTGAAACTAAATTAATCAGTGCTGAACAAAGCAATGAAAAGCCGCTGTAGTGGAGAAGCCCAGAGCACCAGGCTGCAGAAGTGAGGGCCTGGGAGGAGACAGGAAGACGAAAGGAAATTCTTCCTGCAGCATCTCGGAATCAGACTTTCCAAGAAACACACTTCTTTCCACCTGAGGTTTCTGCCAGACAGAGGCTGATATTGGCTTAGCTTACTGGCTTTGTTTTGCTATGAGAATTTCAAAATAATGAGAAGAATAGGCACATCTCAGGATCATCATTTTTAGGGAATCCTACTAAATATTCAAGGTGGTAACAATCAAATGTCATTAATCCAGGGAGCTCCCTGCAAAAAAGAAAATATTAAATCAAGGTCTTACAAGGCTGAAAACACAGGGGGACAATGTCTTCCTCCCTGGGAAACATCCTAAGAGAAGCTCCCCAAATCATAAAGCAACTTTGTAGATGATCCATAAGGTGCTATCTCATAAAAGATGCTTTTTTGTTTGTTTTCCATTTCCACAGAGGCAGAAAAACGCTGAGATTACAGTCCTAGCAATTTATTTTGTCACTGGTTTTTATCTTCTTTTTAAAAATCGTGTTGTTTTTCTCTAATCCTAGACCAAAGACAGGAAGAGGTGAGCCTGTGCTCCTGCACAGAGTATTGATACCAGAAAGGTCTTATAAATCAGCTGAAAATCAATAAATCCTATAGGGTAGTTTCTGCTTCACAACGGTATCGTCAGGGGACAAGGCTAATGCTTTTTCTTCACCAGCAGCCCCATTTTTCCGTCATAAAAAAATTCTGCATAGGAAAAAATGGGTAAAGTTGCTGAGTAAGTGTTTCGACTATCTAATTTTATTACTTTACAATTGACATACCTTCCCTCTGGAAATGTTTGCAATTAATTAATTAGCAGTAATCTTCCCCAGGGGACTAATTTATTGAATACTCTCCAATTCTTACTTTTAAAAAAATAGCTTGGTTATATCCAAGCTGCAAATGGGTGGATGGCATTTTGAAAAATCAAGGATCTACTTATTACTGTGAATTTTTATCACTAACTCACTCTGGCCATGACCATAATTCTTTTTCTAACTAGAAGCTTCCCAGGTTGAGAGCAAGGTTTCTGCAAGGTAATCGCACTGCATAGTAGCAGCTGGGTTTCTCTGCATTTAGCATGGGGCTCATCCTCATTTAGTAACCTCTCTAGCAGAGGAGCCTGCGGTTTGTGACCTCTAAGGTCCTTGTTCATTCTGCAGAATCTGTGAAGAAAATAGGGTTAGCAGAGTGGGGGGGGGGATAGAGCCAGAAATGTCATTCTGAAGAGGTCATGGGTTCTGGGGTCTGCAAGGTGCCACAGGCAAGTTAGTGGTAAGAGATTTCCAGACAGGGACACAGACATTCCTCCTATGACTGATTGCCTTCTCTTGGCAAGAACTCAGTGCCCAGGTCCTACCCTCTGGGCCACAAGGTCTTGTGTTGCAATTAGAATATTTATTTTTAATTGGGCCCTTAAACTAACCCCCATGACTGCTCCAGAGTATTTCAACATGGACTTGGGAGAGAGGTTTATAAATTGTCCAGGGCAACCTGAATCCCCGTACCAAAGGAAAGGCTTCCTCGTGTTTCCTGGCTGCAAACTCCCACCATATGCTTGGCTGTCACTTGTCTAAGATCTTCTCTCAGCATTACTTACCATCCCTTTTCACTTCTAGACCTTACAGGTCTCAGAAAGAGTCTGGGGCCTGGGAGTTGAGACTTTAAGAGCACAAAGTCTACAGTGCTTGCAAACTGCTCATGCCCTGCCCCTGAGGCAGGCCTAGAGGAGGAAGTCCTCCCCTGGGCACCAGTAAGCCTTACTAATGGAGGCCCATTGGCGCCCTTTTGAGGACCTGAGGGATGGAGTAGGGGGCACAGGGTGGGTCCCGCCAGGCTTTCTGGCAAAACACAGGAAATGGGCCTCCTCCTGGAGCTGTTCACTGCGGCTCTCCAGCGCCACCCCCAGCGGAGCACAGCGGCTGCAGCGCGACCCTGACGCCTTCCTCCAGCTCCCTGGCTCCACCGCGGACGACGCGGTAGGCTCGCGCAAGGCAGCCAAGCCTCGCCTCTAGATGCTCAAGAGGCTTAACTCGAAATACAGATCCAAGGGTCACAGTTGGCACCTTTCCAGGCTGCATCTGAAGGTTCTGACACGGGCCTAAGGGCGTGCTACTCAGCTTTTTAGAGGGCCAGGCGGCTGCAGAAAAACCCAGGGTCAAGGATCTGAGGCCAACCGGTGGAAAGCCAGAATTAGCCGGAGACTGAAGCAGGAGGCAGATCCCAGGGGACAAAGATGGGCAGCCCAGTGGGATCCACCAAGGCAACCCCGAGCTGCACTAACCAGCCCTGGCCGGTTGTTCAAACTTTCCTGCTGCGGGGAGGCGGAGGAGCTGGGCTGGTCAGCGTCTTCTCCCCCGAGCCTCTGCTCTTCTCCACCTGCCAACTCAGCCTCCGCCCAGCCTCCCCTGCCTCGGTTTCCTCCCCCTCCCGCGCGCTCCTCTGTGCACTTAAACTCCTCATCTCTTTCCTCTCCCCTCCTCCTTCTCCCTCTTGCATCTCTTCCCCACTTTTCTCTGGTCTCTTCTTTTGTATTCTCTCCTCCCTTGCCGCCTTGGCCGCCTCTCTCCTCCTCGGGGCCGCAGGGGAGGAGGTGAGCGCGCTGCTGCGTCCAGGGCCTGGGCAGCGTAGAAGGAGGCGTTTCTCGTACTTCTCTCGGGTAATTTGTAGAGATTCTATGTGAGTGCGCGCGCGTGAGCTTGAGGGGAAAGGGGTAGGATCTAGCGTTGAGCAGAGGGTCAGGGTCTTTGACGATCCTCTCCGGTTGCGCAAAGCTCTTGGAGCAAGTGTGAGTGTGGGTTGAGTGTGTGCGCGCGCACACACGGGCTGGCTGCTCTTGGCACGCTTGGTGGCCCGGGGCCCCGGGGCCCGGGGTCCCGTCTGACATTCCGAGATTACCGTGACGTCATATTGAGCCTCTGGCCACCTTGGACCGGGACACCTCCGGAGCCTCACAGCCCCGAGCCGCGCCGCTCCTGGCCACCGCGCGCGTCTCCCGGAACCCGCGCCTTCTTCCTTCCCTTCCCATCCATGGGCCCTTCTGTCTTCTGGACCCCACGGGCCGGAGGGGCGCCTTCCGGAGAGCAGGGCTCGGCAGCTGGGCTGCCCTCAGCTCTGCCTCCCGTTGCACCAAGTGTGCAGAGCAACCGGCGGTGGGCTCCAGCAGCGGTGTAAGGAAGGAAACGCCTCTTGGCTTGGCTGGGGTGGTCCAGCCGCGGGGCTAAGAAAGGAACTCGTAAGGGAACGAGGACACAGGCCAAGAACAGCCACTATGTCCTTCTCGCACTTCGGACACCCATACAGCGGCGCTTCCCAGGTAAGAAGTACCTTTTGGGGGGAGCGGGAACAGACTGGGCAGAAAGGATGTCCAGGGCGTGCTCCTTCCCTTGACTTCCTCTTGTGCCCAACCTTGAGCGTCTTCGCTTTGATGTGTCCCTGGGGAAGCCAGAGGGAGCAAGCACCGGGCAGTGCATGATGGCCTGGTCTGCCACCTCCAGTTTCTGATTGAAAACGTCCCACTCACAAGTACATGCTTGAAAATTCTGTGACCCGAATCCGGGAGACCTGACCCCTCACTCAGCGAGGAGGGTGGGATCTCAGGGATCTTCCGGTCAGGCCACCTCTTTAAGATGTGAAGTGAATGGGAGACTCCAAAAGGTTTCCAGGCTAGAGCGCTGAACTATTATATTGCTGTAGTTCATTTGCTGACCTCCATTCCTATCCTTTTGCCTTGGGGTGGTCCAAGATCTCTGTTTCTGCTCTCTACAGTGTACAAATCAGGCAATGATGAATTTTCCACTGACGTTCTGGGGATACTCAACGATGTTTTCCTTTTCTCCCCCGCATAGTGCTTTGTATGTGAAGCGCCAGCTTGACCTTTGACCCGCTGTGTGATATTGAACATGTCTCTTATTCTCACTGGTCCTGGGTTGCCTATTTATAATGTGGAAATAGGAATAATATTTTGATGATGGTTTCTAAAGCTAACCTCTACCTCTGCCTGCGTAAGGTCACTTAGGGGTGAGTAGAGATGGGGGCTATGGATTTGGTCTCTAGTTCTGGTTTCCTCAACCCTCTGGAACTCTAAAGGGTTAGCAATGGCATAAGCACATCGACGGGAGCAGTTTGAATAAGCTGCCTTCTGAAAATTCCCATCTCAGAAGCTAGCAGAACGCTTAGCATACAATCAAATGAAGGAGTGAATGAAGGAATCCTCGACTGGCTCCCGCCAGTTGAAAGTACAGGTCTCTGACATCCAGTGACCCTTTCCCATCCTCCTCCTCTTCTAGTTTCTGGTGTCTGCAAGTTCCAGCACTACTTGCTGTGACTCTGCCCCACATTCAGTCTCCGATGTGGCCTCAGGCTCCACCCCGGCGTCCACTCTTTGCTGCGCACCTTATGACAGTCGACTACTGGGCAGTGCGAGGCCTGAGCTGGGAGCAGCCTTGGGCATCTATGGAGCCCCCTACACAGCTGCAGCAGCTGCCCAGAGCTACACTGGCTATCTGCCCTATGGACCAGAGCCAACAGCACTGTATGGAGCACTGGTGAGTGTGAAGGTTGGGGTCTGGGGACACTGGCAGCAGCTGCAAGGGAAATTCACCCTAGCCTCTCCAGGAAAAACCCAGTAGGAATGCACAACTCTAGGAAAGGAGATCCTGAGGATTGTGTCTTGTATAAGGGGAAAAGCCAACTTTACAGCATTTCCCAGTTTGTAGAATTCTATGCTGCTTAGAAAATATACTTCTGTTAATTTTATGAGGTAGACAGGTCATCACTGTCCTTAAGGTAAAGAAATTGAGGTGCAAATGGGTTCATCTACCCAAAGGCACAAGATGCAAGGAGACAGGGATAGCTCTGAGAGGAAAGGAAAGTTGGTAAATGTCTAGCTGCCCTGAATGTGGTGGGGAACACAAGTGACAAGAATAACAGCAGCTGCTATTTAATTTAACTACTGCTCCTCCTGCCCCTACCAAGAACTCTATGAGCATGGTCTTCTTCAGTAACCTACAGGTTATAATCACCATTTTACCAATGGAAGAAAGGAGGCACAGAGCAGTGAAACAACTGTATCCAGGTCTCATAGCCAAGCAGAGCAGGTACCAGGCTGTGAATTGGACTTGACCACAGAAACCCTGTCTTCCACCAAATCCTTCCCAAGTCTAGTCCTGAATTCTCTTTTTTTCCTCCCCCCACCATCCCAGAATCCACAGTACGAATTTAAGGAAGCTACAGGGAGTCTGACACCCAGCCTGGCCCAACCAGGAGCCTATTATTCCTATGAGCCAACTCTGGGGCAGTACCAGTATGACCGGTGAGGAGTGGGACACGTTGGTAGCTGGCTTCCCTACCAAGGTGATGTGCATGGGGCAGAGGGGGAAGAAGGAAGGGCAAGGAGGGAGCAGAACTATATTTCAAATGCAACACACTGTCCTCTGCTCCAAGCGTAGAACTTGAGCTGGGTTCTCTCCACAGGTATGGTGGGGTAGAATTCAGCAGTGCAGGACGCAGGAAGAATGCCACCCGGGAGACTACCAGCACCCTCAAGGCCTGGCTCAACGAGCACCGCAAGAACCCCTACCCCACCAAGGGGGAGAAGATCATGCTGGCCATCATCACCAAGATGACCCTCACCCAGGTGTCCACCTGGTTTGCCAATGCACGGAGGCGCCTCAAGAAGGAGAACAAGATGACATGGGCACCCAAGAACAAAGGCGGGGAGGAGAGGAAGGTGGAAGGCAGAGTGGAGGAGTCACTGGGCTGCCTAAATGGTGACTCCAAAGGTACCCACAGCATCGCCCCCCACACCTGATAGATTTCACGGCCATCAGTCGGGTTGGTTTGCTTAGACACCATCCTGTAGTGTAGATTTTCTGCAAGGTGCTCCCTGCATTCATCCTCTGCACACGCCAGAGCCTTTGCCTGTGGGCTTCACTCTTCCTGTAAGTCCCTACAAGCTTTAAAGAGTCACCTCAGAAAGTGTCCCTCCTCCCTGGAGCCCAAGTAGCTTCTTAGTCAGTATCTGCTACCTCAGCCACTTCTATTTCCTTTGCCATATTTATCCCTGTGAGAAAATTTACAAACTCCAAAGTCTGCCCCCCTCAAGAATGTCCTCTCCACTGTATGTCTTACTGTTGAGCTCCTTAAATACCGAACACCTAAGCGCATGAAAGATTCCGGGGACACAGTACTTGGTAAATATTTACTGAATAAAATAATGTAACCGCAACCACCTATAAATGTAGAAGTTGGATAAAACCTTTCCCTCCTCTTTTTACAAAGGAGGAACTAAGTTACAGACCTTAGCAACTGCACGTGACCTTTGGTTGGGTCGGTGCTGCAAAAAGAAGAGTCTTTGAGGGGCAGCTTTCAGCTCTAGGGTATGTGCGAGCGATGGTGTGGCTGGGCTGGTGCACTAAAAGAGAATGCCCTGAGCGCAGGGTGCATCTTGCTAAAAGCTTCGCAGGGATGCGCGCTCCCTAGGTCCTGGGGCTTTTCTCACTTGCTCTCGATTTCCTGCAGATGTTCCTGCTAACCAGGAAGCCCAGGGACTCAGACTGAGTGACCTGGAAGACTTGGACGATGAGGAGGAAGAGGAGGAAGCTGAGGAAGAGGACGCTGCAGTCACAGCTTCAGACAGGCTGTCGGAGTTCCCTAAGGGCGCACAGTCGCTGCCTGTGCGGTGCACCGCAGCTCGAGAAAGCCGCTTGGAGAGCGGAGTGTGCAGTCTGGTAGCTCCCCGTTTTTCCTTGAATGAGCCCCAGGGGTCAGGAGAAGCTGACTTCATTGCGCCAGAGCCCGGGAGACCCACGATGATCTTGCACTACCCTTGTCGGGAGAAGCCACGTATCTGGTCTTTGGCGCACACTGCGGCAGCCAGCTGTGTGGAAGCCGCTCCCTCTGCCCCGCCCAAGCCTCGCAGTCCTGAGTGCCCTCTGATTTCCGCACAGCTTCCAGGCTCCACCACACGACCTCTGGTCCCCAGAGGCTCCGCGTGCGAGGAAGAGTCTTCTAGTGAAGCCAAAGTCTTTGGAAACTCCATGTTCTCCCTGCAGGGGCTGCCGCTGAACTGTACGCCCTGCCCGAGGCGGAGAGAGCCTTCAGTACAGTGCCCATACCCACCCGGAGCAGAAGGTAGTGGGTCCCCAAGAGCAGTGGGGCGCTGGCATTGAGATCCTGTGTCCAAAAGATACCCACCCACCACCTACCCAACGGAGACACATACCCTGGCCCCACACAAACCAAGGTTCAAACCTGCTAGCAGACTCTCCCATAGCAATTCCTTTAAGCGATGCTTAGACATCAAAGTTCTAGGCCAAGTAATAGTAATAAACTCAGAGGGAGACAATTCCTAGGATGGCACAGCAAATGTGTGAAGAGTGGACAGTTAGCTAGATTTGTGCCTTCATGGTCTGCAGTCCTGCCAGCTGTGCCAAGTGTGCTTTGACATCCCCTCTAGCACAATTTCCCTTGTTCTTTGCCTGCTCTTAGGAAAAGACTAACTGTGCAGCTACTAAGCTTTTCCTAAGGCTGGTCAGGCACCTGGGATTTTACAGATATCTGAGGGGGCAAGCCAGACACATGCAAGGGGTTAGAGGTCAGTGCTGAAGTCCAGCCTGGAGCCTCTCTGTAGCCCATTACCCCTCTGGGAGTATAGACTGCTCCAACATTCGCTGTTTTGGAAGCTGAGCTTGGAGCTGCCCCTGGAGATGACACCCAAGGGCTCATCCCCATACAGGGCTTGATGGCCGGACAGTGTCTCTTGACTGCATTGGTTCTGTGGCTGTGCTGAGCACAGCCACAGAGGAAGAGGAAGCTGTGGAGGAAGGGAATTTCCCTCCACAAAGGGTCATTCCCCACGCATTACACAGCCTCTAGCAATTACTGTCAGAAGCTGTTCTTTGTAGTCATTTCTCCCAGGATTAGGTACTGCCTTGGAAAATTGGGTTGCATTGTTATTTGAATTTACACGTTGGCATCCAAGCATACCTCTAGCAAACAAATTGCCTGTAGGCCTTTGCTTCCCCCTCAGATGAGACCTGGCTGACCTCCGACTTCCTAGGAATCATCAGCAAATGGCCTTCTGGTTTTAATCAACCTTTCCTCTCTCAGCAGGTTAGCGCAATGGCTTCAATTTACAGAAGAATCTTGGAAATGGGCCCCTTTTGGAACTCACCTCCACAGTAACAAGCTGCAAGACCTTGATAGGGACCAGGAATTCACATTTCACCTAAGAGACAGACACACAGAAACCCTCCTAGCGATGTCTTTGCATGCAGAGCTGGGGGAGGTGGGCAGATTTGTCCCTAATCTCCGCAGAGCAGGTGACTAGCATCTTGAGGAAGACCTAGAAGGAGACCTGGGCCAGTCTGCTCACTTCAAAGACTCTACCAAATCTCCTTTTCCCCTCCAGATCGCCTTCCTCTCTTGCCCACTCCTGCCTTTTTCCTGGCTTCCTTCACGTTGTTAACTTCATTGTTCTCCTGGTCCCCAAGGACCACCTGCATCTTCTCCCCAGCCTTTGTGTCCTTAAAAATAATCAAGCCTAACCCAAGTTGTGTGGCTGATCTGTGTCAGGGGGGTTGAGGGAAGGTCAGGATGAAGAAGAGGATGGAATGTAGCCGGGATCCTGAGAACAGGGTGGTGGGCTGCACCCCCAGGCCCCTTCATAGGCAGGAGAGGAACTGACCTGGCAATGGGCAAGACCTCTGCCCCTGCCTGTGGGTTAGCAACCAAAGGCTGTGCCATCAAATAGCTGTGCCAGGCTTCCCTTCAAGTGGATGTGTCAGGGAGGTTAAGGGAGGTCAGGATGTTCCTCTCCTACCAGCATTTGTTCCCGGACTCAAACTTGGGTTGTAGATTCATTGTGAGAAAGGACAGTGCTGCTCAGGAGGGGTACAAAGAGAAGGGTACTTTTCACGTGTCAGCCAAAACTTTCAGTACCGGCCACTCAGTAAGGGCTAAGGGTCAGGGGCACGCACCCTGTCCCTTTGGAGCCTTGTCCAGTCTTGGGAGTGGAATGCCTAAGGGATTTAAAAATGCCGGAGGGAGAGGGAAGTGCAGGGTGGAGGAGGCTGCCTGACTTGAGTTCACATCCTTTGTCTAGTGGCTTCCCCTTGAGGACAAGGGAGCCCCAGGGAAGGAGGGACCTGGGTGTGTGCTAAAGGGAAGCTCTGGGAGCTGATGGAGGTGGGAAGGCAGGGGCCAGGCAGCTGGGCTGCACTTCTAAGGGCTGGGTCCCCAAAAAGGAGCACTTCCCAGCCGGGTCCCCGCACAGCGCAAATTGGTGGTCACAGCGCAAGTGACCACCTTAGGATCTGGGAAGAAAAGGGTCTGCAGTCGGGCGGAAATTTTAAGATCCTTGGAGGGTGTGTAGGGGAAAAGGAAAAGTTAGAAACAGAGGCGGAGCTGGCACAGCAAGCTCCTCCAGCCCCATCCCCACGCACTTCTGCCCTATCCTGCCTTTGCCTTTTCAATAGAAAAGACCGATTCTCAAAGGTCTTTAAAACTCGTGGGATACCGAAACAAGCTCTCTCTCTCTCTCTCTCTCTCTCTCTCTCTCTCTCTCTCTCTCTCTCTCTCTCTCTCTCTCTCTGTCTCTCTTGTCTCTCTCTGTCTCTCTCTCTCATTCTGTATCTGTTTGTGTCTCTCTTTTTCTCTCTCTTTCTGTCTCTATCTCTTTGTCTGTCTTTCCCTCTCTATTTTCTCTGTCTGTGTCTGTCTGTCTGTGTCTCTCTTTCCTTTCAGCTGAATAAACTGAGACCAAACAAGAAGGCAGGACATTGGCTCAGGGCCACGAAGCTCCAAGATAGAGACAGACCCCAGCTTTATGTTCTGGGTCTAATTCCTGTTTTGAGTTCCTGCTCCAGAGCTCTTCCTCTCTTCCCTTCTCCGGAGCCCCTTCCCCTCCTCCCTGCCCCGTTTTGCTCCTGGGTAACAGCTGGTCCCACCCCCCAGCCTCCCGGAGGACACTCCAGTCACCCTTACTGACCCCCGGCTTAGGGTGCAGAAAATTAAACTGTGAAAAGATAAACATTATTTCCAGTCAGCTTTGCGGGATTAGAGCCTGTAATAAAGAGCATTAGCTGAAGGTTTCTTTCAAGTCAGTCTTGATGCCTCCTCCTCAACAGGGGTGCTAGATAGGCCCCTCCAGAGATGCCCCGGCAGAAGAATCCTTGAGTTCCCCACTTGAAGATGGGAATCAGACTATTGGGTGGAGGGAAGAGGGCCCTTTAGCATCACACTGAGTCATCACTGGGAGGGGGGCACTAAACTGGACTGGAAAAGGCACCCCATCTAAACCCAAGGTCAGGTGGCCAAGCAGGGGCTCCTATGCAAAGGATGAGAGGTGGGAAAGTTTCACCTCCAGAGTTTCAGCCCTAGGTAGGCATGAGAGCCAGAGCAAGCAGACTGCCCTTCCTACTTTCCAGGCCCTCAGAAGTTGTTTCTCTGGCTCTAGGAATCGCTTCTTGACCCAGAGACCTCTACTTCCAAACCTGAGCAAGTTTCTGAAGCTTAGGATTGTTGCAAAGATCTGGAGGCAGTGAGGTATAAAAAGGGAGCAAAGGGTAGAAACCTGCTTTCCTCTTGCATCACTACCTTGTTATGCACAAACCTCTGCTCCTCTTAGCTCCTCAGTTGTAAGATACTGAGTAATCTAGCTCTCCATTTGGGCCTCAGAGTCTCCAAAGCTGATGGTGAGCTCCAGGGATCCAGGCAGAGGGCCTGAGAATGGCACGTCTGAGCCCAAGATTATCCCAGCCTCAGTCCCCAGCCACAATCTGTTCCCACCATCTCTGCCCATGTCAGCCTCCTGAAAATCCCCCAATATAATCTCCCACAATCATATTTAGAATACAGTTTTGATTAAGCCCCAGAGCAAGGGGAGGAGGGAGGATGTAGCTCTGCTCTCCTCTGCTGAGCCTGCTGGCCTTCAGACAGCTGGACCCACCCTGAATTCTATTCTGCGGAGTGAGTTGGTAAAAGCACAATGTTGACCTTGGGTTTGGACCCCAAAGTCCCTCCATGGTTATGGTACCCTCTTCTTTCTAGGCAGTATAGGGGGCCTGTCCTACAGGGGCTTCTTTCTTTATTGAATCCTCTTATGTCAAGCATCATTATCTGGGCTCTGGACTCACTGCATGAACTCTGATCACTTTTAGCTCTAAGGTTTTATGACTTTGTTAGGGAAAATCAGAGCTCCTAGGGGTCTTACAATGTGCCAGACTCAATGCATGTGTCATAGTCCATTCAAATGCTAGAACCAAATAGTCTGGATTGCTTATAAACAACAAGAGTTTTTCTTTTACAGTTCTAGAAAATTAAAAGTCCCAGATCAGAACACCTCCTGCCTGGCATCTAGAAAGGGTTTTTCTGGACAGCGCTTTTCATTTTGCCCTCACATAGTATCCAAGAGCCTAAGGAATTTTCTGGGTCTCTTTTATGCATTTCTAATCCCATTCAACAAAACTCTTTTCTTAAGACCTAAATACCTCCAAATAGGATCACCTTGGAAAGTGGGTCTCAACATATGAATATGGAAAGGGCACACCAATACTGAGTCAATCGCACTATATCCTTTATATGTGCAGACTTAAAGTCCTCATCATGTTTTATGTGCTGGTATGACTATCAGTGAGAAAACGGGCTCAGAGAGGTTAAGTAACTCCATGTCATTTTTTATTTTTTATTCCATGTCATTTATCTAGCTACCAAGTGAAGTCATACTCTGATTCTTTAACCACTACACGCTCTTGCTAATTCATCTCAATATGTTAAGATTCTTTTATTCAGTTATTGAGATCATATGTTTTTGAGACTGTAAAAATCTACTAGTTGGTGCTCTGGAATCCTGTATTCCATTTCTTCCTTGTCAGGAATGTTCCATGGGAAAGGACTTCTGGTGCTTCTTACATCACATACTATGAGATGGTATCTGAGTTAGCCCTGGTCAGTGTTTGGCAGAATGTAACTCTTGGGTCTCTACCTTCAAAGTCAGCCCATAACTGAACCACACTGGCAGGTGGGCTGAGAGATCTGCTTGCTTCACAAGTCCCTTAGGTGGTCTGATGGACCTCTGACCTGAGGCATGATGGCCAAATCTCAAGTGGCCAGATGAAGCTGGGGGTAGGGTAGGTCAAGATACCTTTTGCTGGTCAAGAGTAAATCCAGTAACAAGTATAAACTTTCCCTCCTGGATTAAATCTGGGTTCATTCAAATTAAATCTTCCCAGCTCTCCCCCCCCCCCCCGCCGCCCCCATCCTGAAGCTCAGAGTCAGGACAGGAAGATAACTAGGAGAACTTCTGTTTGAATTATCTTAGGGGTTTTTGTGCTTTGTTATGCAAGAAAATTCTGCCCCAGGTGCAAGCGATCAATCAAGAATGTGTACACATTTCAGGAAAGCCAGCACTCAGAAGGAAAGACAGTATTTTCAGCAAATAAAGAGCTATTAGAGAGTAGGACTTTCCATCCTGGCTTTCTCCATACACAGTTGGTCCCAGCCTGAGTGTTAGAAAGTGCTATTTTTTTCTGAATGAAATTCCTTCTTCATGTAACTTTTGAGACTGGTCTCTAAAACTAAGAAGTGATTTTGTATGGTGATGCACACCTGTAATCCCAGCACTCAGAACACTGAGTCAGAAGAGTTTGAGGCTGGCCTGGGCTATATAGTGAGCTCAGGATCAGCCTGAACCATACATATATATACAGAGACAGACAGAAACAGAGACAGAGACAGAGACAGAGAAAGAGAAAGAGACAGACAGAGACAGAAATGCTGTGTCAAAAACTCCAATGAAACAAAAAAGTGATATTGCTGTCAGTGATTCATTCTTTGTCTTATCTTCCTTCTTTCCCTGTTGTCCCCCAGTAGGATTTTTTTGGTCTTTTATTCTGGGATCAGAATAGGAAATCAAAGTCAATAGATATCTCCCAATAATATGGCAGAGGAGTGCCCCCTTATCAGCATCATTTTCCTTACCAAAAGACGAGTGAGTACTTCATTATCTCACTTATATCTGGAATCTTAAACATTGACCTTGTACAAGTGGAGAGTAGAACAATAGTTATCAGAGAGTGGGGGAGAGAAAGGAAATGGTTAACAGGCACAAGGTTGCATTTGGATGTAGGAATTACTTCCAGTGTTCTATAACATAATGAAATAACTATGGTTGGCAAAAATTAACTGTATATTTCAAAATTACTAGAAGAGAGCTTCCAACAGAAAAAATAATAAATGTCTACAGTGATAGATATGCCTCATACACTAATCTGATCATTATACACTGAACCCCATAAGTACCCCCCATTCAATTACTGTGTCTCAAAACTAAATGTTATGTTTCAGAGGAGAGAAGAACCTGAGTCCTTGATGAAGCCATGGTGCTTTGAGACTCAGCTTTCTCTAGGGAGTTCAAGAAGGAGCTCTTTCATAAATTCTATAGATCTCTTGCCTGGATAAAGATTCAGATCATTGTTAACTTGAATTTTGATGGGTGGCAAAAGTTTGACAGCTAAAGGCAAATTAGCACAACGAGGGATATTTTTTTTCCTT